ATGTTCTTTGAAGATAAGGCTAGGCAATCTGTGATCACTCAGAAACATGAACTCGCGTTATCTTAATGATCGAAGTGAATGATTAGCAAAGGTTTCGGAGTGGACGGCAGAAATTGCTGCTCAGCTCCTTACCGATGCCAAGGTTTCATTCTTTATATGGGCGAGTAGGGGTTATGCGTTTTTGGAGGAATATAAATAGAATGAGAAAGAATATAAATAGAATGAAAAGAAGATTAGTTCCTTCTTGGACACGTGGACGTAGTTTTTAGTGTGCAAAAAAACGACCTCATTCTTTGTGCTTTACAGAAAAAAGTAGAAATCTTCTTGGTGTGACAGTGGTCAATAAGTTGTACTATGTACCCTATGCGGGTTTCCACCACTTGTGTTCGATTACGATTTCGCCTTGATTGAAGTATTTCCTACCGAAGTGGCGGAGTTAAATGTGGATGTGCTGTGCTACTATGTTTTCGAAGCGACTGCGAAATTTCGAACTTTGTGCAGTCTGGACAAAGAGATTGCAAAAAGGGCAAGAGGGAGTGCATACGTAAAGGAGGTGGAGAGAGCTAGCGCATAAAAGGACACACGTATTCCGCGGACATTAGGGGACAGCTCCACGATAGGATCGAATGTTTAAGAAGGGGAAATTTAATCAGTGGATAGCCAGGCGGACCCTTCAAGGGTGCGGACCGACACGGAACGGAAGCGAAGGATGTGCCCCGGCAATCTAGCGTGGCCGTCTCCGCATCACTGGCGACGTGGCACGCCCACCGACTGCTAAACGCTAGACCACATGCAGCAAGTCGAGCGTTTAGCAGAGAGAGCGTTAGCGTTGAAGAGGGCAGCACCGATGAGAGTCGCATCAATGCGGAAATCAACGGGCAAGGAAGGGGTCCCATTTCTCGGGTTCTGGGCCGTTTCTCATGGTTTTCCTTCATCCCGGCCCACCTCTACCTTCATTATAATGGCTGCCTTCTAATAGTAAACTCTACCATTAGATGTACGGTGCAGGCGACGAGCCCCCTCTGCGTAGGTCAGGGAAATTCTAGGTCTAGTGGAATGCTGCTCTTGATGTTATGGTCTAATTGCTGTAAGAGCAGTATGATGGAGCTGACGGCGGAGTGGTGTCGGTGGGGAAGAGTGTTAGAGTCGAACGAGGACACGTATGAGGTAGGTATCTGGGTGTGTCATTAGTGTTATTAATGTTGACAGACGCCTGGTGGTAAATAGATAATTCGAGGGATCATGAAAAGCTGTATTGACTGCTTCCATTGAAGAAGCAAGGTGCAGTATATCAAAACACTTTTTTTGCTTTACTGTATTGCTGGTGCAAACGACGCCCTATTACTTGCTATCCGTCAGCGTAAAACTCATCAGAGACTATCGTCTATATCACCTCTTGTCTTGCTGGTCATCGAATCTCCAGAGGTCTTCCATTGGTGCAGTCCAGTGTAATTCATTTAACGATCCATTTCTTTTGGAAAACTTTCCTGAAGACCGTTGGTCCGGCAGCCGTCCCAGTGTTCGTTTAACTCCCGAGGGATCTATTCGGTAACCGATAACAAACTCGCACGACGTGCTCGGCTCACTGATCTTCGATTTCCCGGCTAGTGTGGCAGCGCCCTGATCTTCGATCGTTAGTGAAGTTCGAAACCCTTGGTCGGAGAAGAAAGAATTGCTATCATAGTTTTAGCATTGAAATTTATCACCATATCATTGAGGCCGAATTTTAAAGCGCTAAAATGAGTTTTGCAGTCATTAACGGACACTCTTCAAAATTTTATAATTTCGGCCTGACATGCCGTTAGCATTTCCACAAATGAGGAGGTAGTTGGGATTTTGTAATTACGTCCTTGCAAACATAGTACAAAAGTAGCTGCTCCCCCCAGTCACAAATTAAGAACACGGGACACCTGACGCGCCAGAGGCAATTTGAAAAAATCGATGCTCTCTGGCGCTGTATAATGTCCTGCTGGATCGCGAAGATGCCTTTCAAAGTTTTCAATGGATGGGCTCCAGCATCTCTCATTCCGCTCACTCTTCTAGTATGCAGGTGAATTCAAACTCCTACTTGACATCGACTTTTTTTCGCTGAAGTCGCCGCACTATTGCTTTTTCTTGGAAGAGGGGTGTCGGCACATTGATTGAAGAGTGACATTGAGATCGTGATCTCAACGGTTTTGATTGCGTACTATAATTTTGCTTAACATGCTAAATTTGATTTCTCCATCTTTCACAACAGATAGGTTTCGAACTGATTCAGGTTCGATAGAAATCTTCCTGGAAAGCAGGTGCAGTGCAAGAAGGGAGAGGGGCAGGGGTCATCGCTGCGTAGCTTTTCCTGACCCTTTTCGTTCTTATTCTTCTTTGCAAATGAAAGAAAAAAGCTTTGAAAGGGTGGATCTGCTTGCTTGTGCAGGAGGGGACCTAAGTGAGTATGAAAATGTTTCCCTTGAGGCGTACTTGAATTTTCTCCGGAGGGGGAGGGAGGGGTCGTCTTTGTGGTTTGCGAAGGCCAAAGGGGTCGTGTTTGTCGAAGCTGTTGGGGTCGTGATTGCCAGAGAGGGAGTCCTGTTTGACGGGGTTGCTGATGAATTGTGAAAACTTCATGAAGGAAGCATGAATTTGGCAAAATTAAAGGATTCAGCCGATCCCTAAGAAACACTCATTCTATCGCCAGCTCCAGCTGAAGGAAAAACTGGGTGAAGTGCGAAAGTTTCGAATGGTGTCACAATCAAATCGTGTCACGGAAGGGGTCGTCAGGTTTTCTAGAATTGGAATAAAGGCAGTTCACCCTGCCTACACTACACTTGAGCCTGCTTCGTGTTATTGACCTTCACGATAAGTCTATCTGTTAAGACATTAAGGACCGCATACTACCCATCTCGTAGAAAGAGGGAGACAAAAGTCTCTAAAGTCTCTATGAATTTCCTCCATCTCTCAACCAAAATAGCCCTAAAGAAAAATCCATTGTAATTGAAGTTTGAAAGAAGTTGAAGCATTGCAGAAGTAAGAAACAATGTCGTTCGTGAAAACCATAAAATTCATGAGATTTTTGTTCCAATGTGCCCGGTTGTGCGTTCGCTAGACAAAAGCGATCTTTATCCGCTCGCCCCGCGAAGCTTTTTCCGCTGTGGACGCAGAAATCCAGGGCACTTCTGATCAATGGAAGAGCTCTTGGAATTCGGCGCCTATGTAAATCCTTTGCGGAAAAAAAACAGCGAAAGTCGCTTTCTGCATAGGCGAACCACCCCCCTCCCCTCCCCGGCCTGGCGGGAAGAGGACAGCTACGGCCCCAAAAGAGGGGAAATCTAACACATAATTGTGGACAGCATTTATATCTGTATATAATGAATGTGTATAGCAATAGTAGAGTGTAATACTAGCAATTGAAGAACGCAGTTCACGTTTGCATCAATCACCCTGCACTTTTCTGCAAACCGGCGAGGGCCCGTGTGTTTTCGAACACCCATTGCACTTTGCAATCGATTGCTGCGCTGTGTTTTCATGATGCAATTCGGGAACATTCTGCACGTTTTGCGCAATGTGGGATCTCTTCCTATCTTATCAATTATCTTATCGTTTCGCAGATTCTTCTCGATCTTTCCCCATATCACTAAAGCTCAATATCTGACTTGAGTTCTCATTTACAATCTCGATCGTCTGGTGTATGCAGCGCGTAGAAACTGCGGAACCAATGTGTACTTTGGTGAAAAAGAAGAACCGGAAAGCCTGCACGTGAGACGCTCCAGGAGACGCCTCAGGGGAAGTTTTATCACTATAATATCCGATTGTTAGAGGTTTAGAGCGGATTTGAATTCCACTACTTAACTGCACCACTACTGGATTCGACTGCGCAAACTTTTGATGATTAATCTCTTTCTCAGGCAGGACTCGAGGATAATACAGTTCATGAAGCTAATTTGCGTGCGCGAGTCCCAGTAAAGTTATCAAAAGTGGTCAAGGTCGAGCAAAATTTTTAGGGCCCGTGACCAGGATGGGTGCTGAAGACTGGGTTTTGACGACCCTTTTTGAGAAACAAGGAAGGTGGTCCAGTGATATATTTATTGAGCAGAGAGAATATAAGCGTGGCCGTTCCCAACGCTGTAGGTATCGAGAATGTCTGGCCCATAGAACAATTCCATGCACCGCCCCACTTGATAGCGGGGGGCTGGGCGCATACATAGCAGCAGGGGGTCGTCGACGACGACAGGGCGGAATACTATACCGTACAATACCAAACTTTCTCATCTGGACGTAGTTGGTTGTTCTGGCCTAACTGGATCTTGGCTCTGACAATCGACTCGATGCAGTCGTTCAATACGCCTCGATATCAGTGCAAACTTGCGAAATGTACAGTCTTATCAGCCTCTACTTCCGCTAACTAGCCGTACCCGTTCATGTTTTCTGCTGATATGGACAGCTGTGGGCAGAATCAACTGTCGGTATCGACTTGATAGTCAAACATTGCTGACTAATACATAGATAGGCGTGGGCAGGCCGCGTGTAAGTGGGACTGCTGCGCGCTACTATACTGTCACGAGAAATCGGGGAATTCGTGAGCCAGGGGGAGTGTAGCCAATCTAGGGGGTGGGGGTGAGGGCAGTCACTTGACATGCGTGAAAAGCTGGGCGTGCCCACCCCACTTGTATGCCCAAAAACATTTTCACTGCATTTTCCCAGTTTTTCACGACTATTAGCCATAGCCGGGTTCCCTCATACGACCCCCTTTCCCGCATCCGCGACCCCTTTAACCTTCAGAACACGATCCACCTTCCATTTTGGTCGCCTTCGACTATCCCAATTCTGACTCCAGATCAAGCGGACGGACGGTTGACCACTTTCAGGGTACGTGTACACAACAAAACTAGCCGCTTAATCCGCGGAGCAAACAAATTTTTCATTCTGACATCTCTTGTACAGCACCCTTCTCTTCCCTCCCCCTGAACTGCGCTCTGGAGCAGTCTTCTGTCCTGCTAGAATTTAAGCAGCCCTGGTCTAATGGTTAACATCAAAGTGATTCGCCACGACAAGTGGTGTATGTGCTAATAGGATGCTTTTTTTGGAGAAAAAAATTTCTGCAATATTTTCTGAGCTACTTGTTCACCTGGTACTGCGTATAGCATAGTCGCCGTTCCATTTCCGCGGCAAAAGCACCAATTGTGTATAGTCAACATCAGGTTATCAGTATGCGACTCTGACTCGACAGAAAATTTCTCAAAACAGCAGTAATTTATAGGCCATTTGTGGTGAGTGGCTGCGTGCTACCTAGCAACTAGCTGGCTCGAATTGCTTAACGTGGTAGGTTTGTGATGAATTGCTTCCAATCAGCGCTAGATGGAAATTTTAAGCTTGCGCAAGGTGGCTCCTGTCAGCCACCTTTTCGCTTTTTTTCAGCAAAGCAGTCTCCTTATCACATTCTTTAGTAACGCAAATGGATAGCGCAGGGCTGCTTGAGAGGGTAATCGCAAGGAAATTAAGGGTTTCTTCTCTTAGCTCGCATGGAATTCAAGATTTTAATGTAATAATTCTTCCTGTGATCGTGTTTTGCGAATTTTATGAGTCCTCTACTTTTTCTATATGTTTGAAGGAACTATTGGACAATAGGAAAGTTGTTTCAGAAGTTGAACGGTTTCAGGTCTTTTGCATCAATGCCTGCAGAAGCGTTCAAGAAGCACGAAGTGGTTCCAGACGTGTTGGCTACGGCTCCAACAAAAGTCGTCAAAGCAAGCTATGACAGTGGCGCTGAGGTGATTTGCTATCTCGTCATACGTGAATGTTTTGTGAAAATAGTAGAATCTTGGAAAATGAACGTCTATTTGAATATAGGTTTGATGAGTCATTTTCCATTTCAGGTGAATCTGAAATGTTACGCCAACGAGTAAAAACCCACGAAGCTTACAGGGACGTCAGCACGGGACCACTGTACACCTATCTTCACTGGTACTTTTTTTTTTACCCATTCTCATGTTTTGAAAATACCCTTTTTTGCAATTTCCTACTTTTTGAATATGGAAAAGTTATGTCACGGACTTTTGGTTCTTTTCCTAAGCAGAGCCTTAGATGTAAGTTATTTATGATGGCCTTGCCGCCCTTCTCTCTTCTTTTCTGCAGCGTTGAGCATTAATAACAGCTTTTCAATAAGCGCCTATCATTTCGGGTATGTAGAGACAGTCGGACTGCAATGAAGAATCCAGAAGGAAAATATGAAGCGGACAATTAAAACCGTTGGCGCTCGTCTTCGGGGAGGGGGGGTTACCAGGTAAGAACCCCAAGTGTGAGTACAATTGCTGTTATCTTGAACATAACCCTAGAGAGGAAGATCCTGGACGAGTATCTGACAATTAGCTTTTCTCCGGTTTCTCGCTATCTGCGACTTAGTCTTAGCTGCACCCGTACCACTTGACTCGCTGTTTGAAGCCTCCCCCGCCGAAGACATTAGCGCCAAGCCTTCTAGTAAACCATGTCCTAAGCCAATGCAACAGTCCGCTCATTAGTCAGGTGTTCCTATACGGGCTACAGACAGTACGTGTAATATTTTGTAATTTCTCATGTATTTAAGTGGTTACTCAAAAAACCTAAATAAAACTTAATTATATCCGGACGCGCATCTGCGGCAAGGAGGCCAAGCGTACGAGATATGTCATCACTTGCTTATCGTAAATGCCTTGAAACACTATCAGCAAAGATGTACTCGCGCCGCTGAGTACATCTGGGATCTCGGACACTAAAGCACGGTAGGAAGTGAAAAGTAGAGTTGCTCTACGCGCTGTCGATGATGGGTGAGCTTTCACCTTACAGCGTTATTTATCCTTGTCTACAAGCAGGTGTCTACAACCGTATTCCGGCACGCGTCATTGACAAATCGCCTCTGGTTATGGACGGGGTGGATGCAGAGACAAAAGTTGTGTGTGCAAGCCAAGTTGGGACCATTGCAGAAATTTCACTATCATGTTCCTTTAGAACGTTGCTTAGCGCCGTAATACATGCAACATTAAGTATATTGATGATTGCTCTAATTAAATAATTACAGCAGGTGGCGACGACTACGGGCCTATCTCGTTTATTAAGCAGCTCGGCGCTGCTGAGAACGTTAGGCACGGAAGGCTAGTCACAGTTATCACTTTCCGTGCCCTTTGATTTGCATTGGTCAGTATTTGGTCTTATCGGCGGTGTTGTTCTTTATTAATTATTCAATATAAATTGTTGTATATAATTCACTGGCTATACTAGCACCTGCCATTACTTGGAGGCTAAAATAGCGAACATCATAGAACATCGTGTGCACCTGGAGTTATCTCTTCAATGATGCCGTCTTAATCGCATTTGGAGGATGTCGGCTTGAGATGAATAAGTCAGGCGCGAAGCGTTCAGGGTTACTGTGATAAGGTTCTGTAAAATGTGCATGCCTCGATACTCTATATATTATATTATATATATGAAATATATATGATAAGAGTTGTGATAGGACTGCTCAGACGTCAACTTGTGTTCGAGGCTAAAATTGTTGCGGCCGATATATGGAGTGTAGCGATTCTCGCTACGGCATGTCTGCGTCCCCTCCGTCCACCATACTCTCTCGTCTGAGTGCCCAGCGTGTCTTTATCGCGGCACCTTCAGAATGGAAGCACATTCCTCAAGAAAGAAAGTCTTCATTTTTAATGCTTTCGGTGTTTTCTTTTCTCCTTCGCTGGTGGGTCATACCGCACCTAACTTTTATTTTGAAGGCAAAATTTACGATGAAAAGTTAGCTCATTGGAAATAAGGGTAGAGGTGGATCAGTGGAGCAGGATGAAGAAGAAACCATTTGAAACGGCCCGAAACCCGAGAAATGGGACCCCTTCCTTGCCCGTTGATTGACTCTCATCGCTGTGCCCTCTTCAACACTACGCTCTCTCTGCTATCTAATCTCGCACGTATAGACCTGCGGCGAGTGATTAGATAGTCGGTGGGCGTACCCCGCCAACCGCGCCAAGAGTGAGCCATGCTAGATCGCCGAGGTCAAATCTTTCGCTGCCAATTGCCGCCTGTCTCCCAACTATGCAATTTCCCCTTCTTTGACCGTCGTTTTTACCATAAATTCCTCCTTCAAAGCCTAGATGAATGCGAAAGGTTCTTTCTAGTTGTTCGTAGTGAAAGCTGATTGTTGATAAATGATAGTTGTAATTAGTGACAACTGATAGAATACAACTGCAACAGCTAATCATTTCATTGGCAGAAAACATTTACATTTTGTGGAAGGCCGTCGTCACTTGTGGTGTGTGGTCTGCACTCGATGCGCACTTGGTTTTCGGAAACGGAGTTTTCTTCATATGTTTTTGGCAGTTAAAGTCATATAACTCTATTGAAAACAAAAAGAGCGTCGAGTGCAGACCACACACCACAAGTGACGACGGCCAAGGGGAAGTCACTTTTTCTTTCCTTTTTCTGGCCGTCGTCGATTCTGGTGTGTGATCTGCACTCGACGCTCTTGCACATTTTTCGAAATAGAGGGTAAATTCATAGATGTATCACAATTTAGTACGAAATGTTTACATGAAAACCTAGGAAGTTACATGTACACCATGATCCATGGACAAAGGAAACCCGACACAAGCGAAGGTCTAGTCTTTATAGAGCAATTGAGAAATGATTTCTCGGTTGAGTGCTCGCTGATCTTTCTTTCCGGAGGTGAGGATCATTGTACCAACGAGATGTTTCGCCAGCCGTTCTCGTTGACGTCTCCTTGCAAATCGGTCGCAGACTGAAATTCGAGCAATGAATAGCCTACGTGGAGTTCAGAAGGCATCAGTGCACATTGAAAAGAGCCTCAAGAAAACATTCTTCATCGAATACTCGAATACACGGGTCGCGATTGAATCTTGTGGGCAATTTTACTTGTGAGTGAAGTCGCAAAGTCCCTAAATACAGAAATCATGCAACGTCGGGACACCAAGATGCACAACAAGGGCACAAACCATAAGGAGGCTTTGACCACCGTAACGGTTGCCGTTTCTACTCGTTCACAGCACACGTGGTGTCTGTGTTCTCTTGCTCGGCGTGTTCTCCTGCTATTGCTTACCCTTGTCGCGCTACATATGTCCGTCAAATTGCGTATCGGTTGTAGTACAGGCTAAGCCAGTGCTACGTTCCCATCCCCCAGGTAGGACAACTGGCGCTGGTCTTAATTTTGACATGAAGTTGAATTTGTAGTGCGTTTGAGATTTTTACTTCAGGTCAACTCTCTAAGCAACAAGCCCTTATTTCAATATCAGTAAGCGGAAAACTTATTATACTTGACACTTTTCTAAGCTTGGTAAAAGCCAGGACAAATTGATAAAAGGAAAGTAAACAATTTCTGCTTTTAGAAAAAAAAACTAGCGCTAACTGAGATAAGAGAAACAGAGCGATACAGGTAAGCACTCCGATAGCCCCTGTCCGTGAGACGATCCGATTGTAGTAGGAATAGATGTCTTTTGTCTCGAATGTCTCACAAAATTGACCTGAAACGGGCAGATGTGGAGAGATCATAGTAACTATCCCACAGCGACTGAAAGCTCAAAATGCCACAAGCTGTGCAATGAGTCGCGCGATTCGTATCACGCGAGTGCAACAACATGCGCAACTGCTATCATGCGATGCGTCGCGCGAATGCGCGAACTATGACACCACCTATGCATTTATGAATCATGTATTTCATCCATCTCTATACCCTCTGCTCGATTTGTAGATGTGCGCCAACTTGGATACCCTTAATACTGAACAAAACAAGATCATTCGAGCTTAAAGATCCACAATTTCGAGAAGTCAGAGGGGGCCTCCGAGAAGAGCAGGCTCTCAACCCACAAGAGCGAGCATGTGGCACGCGCTGCCTCTACTCGAAAAGGTTGCGCGTGCAAGGGCTAAGGCTTGCTCATCTTGCCACTGCGTGTGCAATCGCGGATGCATTGTCCGGCGTAGTGCGCCCTTGCGTATGATCGTACTCTCTAGTTTTCCTTCCTCAGCAGCGCGTATCTCTTCGTGATATCAGCCGAATACTTACCAATTATCTCAGTGTTTGCTATGGCTACCTGTTTATTTTTTCCTTAATATACTTCCATATCGCTTATATCTAAATTTTGAACGAAAATACACGAGGTAGATATCAAACGGTGCATTCGAGCAATTATTTTTGGTGAAATGGAAGAAGTCGAAACTCGAATGTTACCGCTGAATGAAAAATGCTAATTGTTGACTAAAAAAATCATGTCAATGTACTGCGTGGCCTCCATATATTACCTCACAACAAAGTCTAGTGCGGGACTCATTTTGTCCAAAAATTTCTCTGCCTATGAGCCTATCTAGAACTCGAATCAAAAAAAGTACAACAAGTGTACCATCTGGTACGAAAGCATATGAGGCAATTGCTACAATCGCTAGGGTGGAATGCTCGAAGTTTTGAAAGGAAGCATGATCTAAACGAGGACTGGTATAACCGTACAATCATCCTGTGACAAAATGCGCGATTGAACCTTAGGCCTGCCGAAAATTTCAGGTCCCCGCTTCCTTGTGATAGTGGCGATCTGCGTCTCGCTCGTCCCATGCTCTCTCGTTCTCTTTAACCGGGTCGCGTTCCCTCGCCTTGAACTTCTACAGGTGTCTTCCCCTGCGACTGTCATTGACCCAAAAAGTGAGAAGTATGCATAAATAGTGTTTTGGTTGTCTTTACATTTTGTGATGATCTACTTTCGCGCTCATTCGTTTCGATTTGGACCACTGTCTATGAAAACGAAGCTTTAGAAAGAACTACACACCTGAGTAAGGTTTCTCGCAGTGGCAACTCGTCAAGTCATAGTTTGGAGTTCCATGGCCATTGCAATGAATAGCATCACAGTCGACACCAGTCCATCCTTCTGAGCATTGTACACACCTGAAATTGACTAGTAGTCTTGTTCCCTGCTGACATGAGCAGCTTTTATTGGAATGGATTGTGTTGGTTTGAAGGCACCGGTCGCAATTGAGAAGGTCTGTTGTTTTGTTCGGAAAAATCCCATACAACAAGTGCCATGGGAATTAGTAGGAAGAAAAAGGCAACGGAACGTAGGTGAAGATGTTTCTTGTGTGATCGACATGGTACGACGGAGAGACATAGCGCTACGAGGAGACGAAATCCAAAAAGCACTCGTGCGCGAAGTGCACATGCCGCAATCGATAAGAAGGCAGTGATGGTTGCAGCGGTTAACGAAGAGTATCAGCTTTCCTCGTGCGCACGTTATTTTGTGACAGAATACCATCACGCTTATCTATGGCGCCCTGACTACCTCACGCAAAGAGGGAATTTCTCGCGAGAAGTGAGTCGCGAACCGTGCCTTCTAAGCATTCCAACTTTGTAGTCCATTGCTTGTTCGAATAAGTTCCATAGCGATATCATCCTAAACGGACACAGAAGAATAAGACCGTAGGACCATTGTATGCCTGGCTGGTTGAGCAGAAATTAGAAAGAATACCCGTCTGCAATTACTCCTATATGGCATAGGTACCCGCCGATCATTATGATACACGCTGAAGTTTGAAAAAAACTGCTCTGAATCATAGTTAACCTAAGTGTGCGATTCGAGAGCTTTCATGTCACATGTCGTGCCTTTGATATAACGCTCAACTACATTGCGCAGACGAAGCATTTAACCTCCCCGGGGGGTAGTCTTGCAAATTGTCTAGCGTAAATTGAAGTTCTCAAGATACAATAGCCAATAGTTTATGGAACAACAGAGACACATCCGCGCACGTGTCGAGAATGTGCTTTGGGCATAGAGTAGACTTGGCAAATCTTACGAATCGTGGGATACGAGCGATACACCGGCGCTTCGAAGAATTTACCAGTTAATCAACACTGTTTGAATGTGGCGAGAGCCACTCTCTTGAGCACGCTGATTCGCCTGCTTCGGCTATCCGACAGGAGGACCGTCGCGAATGCAGGAAGGTAGTCAGCGGACGAGTCGCACCGCGCACTGTAGTGACTTCGCGCCAAGTTGAATAGAATGTAGCATAGCACGTCCTACACTGCACATCACACGCTGCGATTGCGTGACTCTCCTTTTGGCGCGAACGGCCTGCGTCGGTACATGCCTTCATGCCTCTCGCGCTCTCATGCCCGGAGATGCCCAGTGGAGCGCGCGCGGGTCAACATGCCAACGAAGCGCCTCCACGGCCACCTCAAATTACAGGTCACTGGTGCATCCAGTGAACGTTGGCCATCGCGGTAATCACAATTCGCTGGATTCCAAAGTGAACACCACCTCCAAGTCGCCTAGCGCATGCTGCTGTTTGAGTCTAGTGAATACATCGCGACTGGATAATCACGTTAAATCTTTCACGCATACATCGATGATCGCCCTCTAGACGGGATTTCTACAAAAGCTAGTGCTTCAGGGGTACTCAGCACAACAGCTAATTGCAGCCAAACCTTCTGCGAAATCAGATCCTATGTGGCGTTCTCTCTACGATCCGTCAATTTCAACGGCGATACAGGATGACACCCGGTCAGCTCGTCTCTGCGATGCACTGGCCATTCTCGAGTGCACGTTTACGCACGCTCTGTATGTTTTGCCAGCACGCCACCGTAAGAATTAGTGCTACGAAGCCATAGCGCTAGATACCGCTAGCATCTAAAAAAATACTAGCGATCGCTCGAGTAGAAATAGGGAAAACGATCCTTAGTAGTTGCAGAATTAATTAGACCCCAAAAAGACACAAAAAGACTCTTATACGCAGGCTGGCTCCAACACCAACAGAACGAAGGATTAGGTAGCAAAAAGTTCGCTACAATTCTAAAAGTTAGTAGTCACCCTTGTGCGCAATTCTGGAGTTGACACAGTGCTACGACTCTACGCTCAAAGCATTTATGCCCTCTCAGATAGAATTGCTCGAATCTATACATGGCAACCGTAGCCTTTGATGTTTTGTACATTGTCTAGTTGTTTGCTTTGACTGTCTTACACGAGGGATGACGTTTGTGGAAGTCAGTATCGGCCGTCCTGCTGAACTTCAATGGGAGAGACCAAAGATTTCTACTTGGCCATAGACTAGTATAAGAAACGTGGCGTAAAAGGAGCTACTTGCGGAGATTTCTCGAAATCCCTGAGGAACAATCCTGTTCAATGTTGCTGATCAAAGGGCAAGTGTGAATGGCCTTCTTCTACTGGGGTCAACTGTAGTGTCGTTTTGTTCAGTTGTGAAAGCTTTCAATTAGCCTTTTTTTCTTTCTTCTTTTTTTGATAATATCTTTAGGTCTTTATCATTTCTGAAATAGCCACCAAAAATAATTGGGAGAGCAGCGATTTTTGTCGAGAATTAATTTTGAAGGACTTGATTAGTGCATCACAGTTAATGACTTTTTCAGGATGAGTTATTGGCGCTTGTGCTTGTGCCACAACTGGAAGAACATGCGCCATATTCGGTTGTGAAATTGGCAGCGGGCACAAGTTAAAAAGAAATATTCTATTAGGCATATTCTGAGAGCATTAGGGAAGTTCGCCCCTTCCTTTGAAAATCCTGATACGCAAGCCGATGTCGCCGCTCATGTCCCGCTGTGCAAATATTCCCGAAGGACAAAATCCATAAATCTACATAAGACAATGATAGAGACTATTGGAAGCATGTGTCTTATTAGAATCGGTATTTCACGTTCAACACCGCAGAAAGTTAACCTTGAGGAAATGACACACCACGACCGACGTGCATAGCGGCGCCTTCTGTTTCATTGTTTCCGTTCTTGACGCTCACCTACAAGCTAGGAACAAGGTGCCTGGGTAATAGGGCGAGATCTTCAGCAAGTGAGCTCACCTTACTGTAATAATGTTCTCTCGACGAAACTCTTTGAAAAGCGAGTAAGTCCGTCTCTCCAAAGCCAGAACTATTGTAGCCTCTGCAACAGAATCCTGCTAACCAATTCACGACCTGCGCAGACGCAAATAGCAAGCAGCAGTAGATTTTCTTCAATAAAATCCAAGTGAAGAGAGATTTCCTCTGCCCAGGGCTGGCGTAGATGAGCGAGGGTATGAAGATTCTTTCCATGGAAGAAAACTTTCCAAATTCCATTTCAAGCCCTGCAGCCACAGTAATACCATTGTCCCGAGTGAGAGCTTTGTCAGCCACCGGTGGCTGACATTGTCACGAATGGTGTTAAATAAAGGAAAAGAATGGAATCACCTGGTTCTTTCCATTTCACACCCATCAAAGAGTTCTCTGAAGAAATCGTTATCTCTCGCAAGCGCTCCTGACGTCTCAAACTCTGCATAGCGTCACTGCTTTGATAAAATTTTAGTCACTCTGGAGGAATTGAAAGTTCGCATGTATAGAGAATGCCATAAAAGACACTTAGCCCATGGCGACACTTCATCCGAACTTTTCGTCGCACAGCGGCCAATGTCATGAGCATTTACGGCGAAGTATTCCTGAGATGTTTCGATGATGAAGTAGATCTTCCCCGTAAACAGAAGCAGGCCCTCCTTCACTGCCCCGCCGTCTTCAGAATATGACGTCATCTGCCGTCACCGTCGAGCTCAACGAGGCTTACCGTAATCGCTCCGACCTGAAGCTGCTACATAATTTCTTCAATGGATTAACTGTTGAATAGCTTCCCAGAGACATTAGCTGTGACTATGCAAAGCCGCTGACCCAGCGCTTCAGAGACGTCGTAATCGTCTATGTATCTCGGGCTCGTACTCCTGCACACATCTCCCGTGAGAAAATCCTTCTTTATCATCGGGTATTAGAAGCTAGTGTGTAGCCTTTGAATGACTTAACAGGACGACATTAACGATGGAAAAGCAACCATTCCAAATTATAGAGATGGTGAGTAGTCTTCTTCTTCTCCCTAGCGTTAGTCCCGCGCAGTCGCAGGGTCCGCTGTCTTTGTCAGTCGTCGCCACTTTGCTCCTGTCCAGGGCGTCCTCTGCTGTGGCCATGACTTCACTCAGATCCTTCTTGATCACGTCTCTCCCCCTCTTCTTTGGGGCTCCTCGCGGTCGCTTGCCTTGCGCTTCGAAGTCCATCGCTTTCTTTATCGGATGATCCTGTGGCCTCCTAGCACATGCCCATACCATCGCAGACGCTGTTCTCGTACCTTCAGCTGGACAGGGGCAGTCTGCATGACCGCTCTGACGTCCTCGTTTCTAACCTTGTCCAGCCGCGTCCAGCCGCAGGCCCATCTCAGCATCCTCATTTCGGCAGAGTGGAGCTGTCTTTCCTGATTCTTGTTCAAGGCCCAGCACTCGCTGCCGTAGAGCATCGCAGGCCTTACCACTGTCCGGTACACCTTCCTTTGAGCGCTCTGGAGCACCTTCGGTCGCAGAGGATTCCAGTGGATTCCCTCCATTTCATCCATGCCGCGTTGATCCTCCCCTTTACTGCCTGGTCCACACTGCCGTCGGCCGCCAGATCACTCCCAAGGTATCGGAAGTCCTCCACTCTTTCGATGCTTTCACCATGCCGTCCACGATCGGCTCTGCACCCTCTTCGGAGCTCAGGAACTTGGTCTTCTTGACATTAGCCGTAGCCCACCTTCTGTCAGGACTTTCTGCCATTTCTGCACCTTGGCTTGAAGTTCCTCTCTACTATCAGCTATCAAGGCGACGTCGTCAGCATAGAGGATAGTCTTCAGTGGTCCCTCCATGAGCCCCTTCACCAGGACATCTAGTGTTAGGAGGAAGAGGAACGGGCTCAGAGCTGACCCTTGGTGCACCCCGACCGTGATGTCCACCTCCTTCGTTAGGCCGTATGGGGTGCGTATAGCTGCCTTGGCTCCTTCGTACATATCCCTTCACCAGAGAGATGAGGTGTTCTGGCACGTTTCGTTCCCTAAGCGACCTCCATAGCACTGCTCGCGGTAGCCGGTCGAACGCCTTTTCCAGGTCGAGGAAGGCTAGGTAGCAAAGGCCTGCACTTTTCGCGATACTTTCTCCATCACTTGCCTAGCGATGAAGATGGCATCTGTTGTAGACCTTTCGGGCATGAACCCGAACTGTTCCTGGGAGATCTGGACAAGGTCCCGCAGTTTCGAGTCGACCAGGCGCTCGTACAACTTCATGGTATGCGCAGTCAACTTGATGCCCGCGGTAGTTGGAGCAGTCCATCGCGTCACCCTTCTGCTTGAAGATGGGGACGATAGTGCTTGTTCTCCAGGCATCCGCCCTCCTCGCAGTCACACCGTATTTAGGAGCGGGTGAGCCACTTCACCCCGTGCTCTCCCAGGGCCTTCCAAGCCTCTATGGGTACTCCATCTGGACCAACTGCCTTTCCAACCTTCATCTTCCCAAGCGCGCCGAACCTCATCCTCTGTCCAGAGTGCGATGGGACCAGCTGTGGCCTCTACCCGTGAGTTGTTCTCGTGGGAGAACTCCTCGTTCAGAAGACCTCTGAAGTACTCTTCCCACCTCCTCCGAACTTGGGCTGGCTTTCCTCAGTATGGCGCCGTTGTTGCTCTTCACGCTCTTCACCACCCTGATATCTTGAGTAGCCCGATGCCGGGCTTTGGCCAGTCTGAAGACGAACTTCTCTGCGTTTCTGCTTTCCAACTTCTCGTACAAGGCGTCCATCTCCGTGTTCTTTGCCTTGGCTACGGCGGCCTTAGCGAGCCTCTTGCAACTTGTAGGCAGCGAGGTCCTCGGGGCTCCGGGTCTTCTGCCAGCGCTTGTATGCTTCCTTCTTCTGCTTCACGACTCGCTGGACCTCCTCGTTCCAGAACCACGCTGCCTTGTCTCCTCTGAATCCACCTCGCGTCTCTCCCAGTACCTCCTTGGCGCATCGTAGGATGATCTCAGCTGCAGTGCCCCAAGCCTGCTGCACTGGTCCCTCAGGATCTGGGAGACCAACTTCCATTATCCTTCGCTTGAGGTCACTCTTCTCTGCACGGTGCAACTTCCACCACCGGATTCTCCTCTCGGTTCTTACCTTTGTCTTCTTGGGGAGCTCCATGGCTATGTCTGCCAGGAGTGGCTTGTGCTGGGAAGCCAGCTCCTCGCCAGGGAGTACCTTGACGTCCTTCACAGTTCTGAGGGATGATCTTTTTACCAGCACATGGTCGATTTCCGTTTGTCGTCCTCCACTGCTGTAGGTGACCTTATGAGTCTCCCTTTTCGCGAAGAACGTGCTGCAGATTGCCAGATCGTGGGCCGTAGCCAGGTCCAGGACCCTCTCTCCCTCGGCGTTCCTCACTCCTATTCCTCTACCTCCGTGCACCCTTTCAAGACCTCTTCTGTCGCTGCCGACGTGCCCATTCAGATCACCTGCTATGGTCAAGTAATCGCTTTCCGGGATCGATCTGATGGCTTCGTCAAGCCTTAGGTAGAACTCGTCCTTCTCACTCTCGGGGCATCCGGTCTGCGGAGCGTACACTGACAGTATTGACCAGTACCCCCCCTC